GTTTTCTGGATTTGACCGTCCGTCAGGTTTCAGTAAGAAATCCACACAAGTCTTTGTACATGAGGCCCCTGGCCTTCTGACTCATGGTTTTAATTTTTAATTTTTCCCAGACTCCTTTGCAGCAGGGATGACATTCAGTCACAGACAGCATTTTCTGAGCTTGTTACAAAATCAAAAAGTGAAATGAAGACGCATGTTTCTGCTTTAAACTGGAGCATACAAATACTTGTTTTTTTAGTGTTAATAATGTTTATAAGAACTAAATTAGCAGAAAAGGCTGTAACTTTTYACTTCCCATCTTTTCCCTCCTTGTCTGCTCATTAGTGTCATTCAGCAGATGTAGCTCCACTTCCTGACTCATAAAACAATCTAGTTTCTCAGTTTTCACCTCCTAAAAATGCAAGGTTTTTTATGCTAGCATTAACTGCTGGAATCTACCGTGTGTGTTAGCAAAATGTCATAAACCAGAAAGAAACTTGCAGAAAGTAATCACTGGATTTACATGGTAGTTTTTTCTTTCTTTTTTTACTTGGGAAAGTTTTAGTCTGTTTTTAAAATGAGTAAAAAGAAACTTAGCATTGGAGATTTATCTAACGCCCTCTCTATCTCTCTCTCACACACACTGGTCACCTGTCTGTCCTGCAGGTTTGAGAACGGCTCTGCATGCTTCCACGAGGATGACAGGGATGGACTGGTAAAGGTGTGTCGGCTGGTCATCAACGCCCGTTATGAAGAGTACACCACTGAGGGTTATTCTGTGTTGAGCTCCAAGCAGCCAGTCATCTACCAGAGCGCCTCCTGTAGGCCTGGTCTGGGACAGCACCTGTGCARTCAGGTAGGATGGATGAAATGCACCATCTCAGTTTTTGAGGGAAACAGTAACTCTCAGATTTTGTGGTTTTATGGTCACATTTTTAAAAGAATTGTGGCTGTTATATAGGCCAAAGCAGTGTAGCTCTCGCTCTCGCTCTCTCTCTCTCTCTCGCTCTCGCTCTCTCGCTCTCTCGCTCTGTGTGTGTGTGTGTGTGAGACTTATCTTCATGTTCTTAATACAGTGTATAATCTGCAGCTCAGATATTTTTAATGAAACAATGACAATAGTGTTCAAATGTCTTCATCACAAATTTTGTGACTGAATGTCATCAGAGTAGCTGTTCTCGWTTTAATCTTCTGTTCCTTTTATTGCTTATGATAAGCTATTGGAGCATTATTTTAAAATACACAGATTGCAGAGCAAACTGTGGTTCTTGATTTGCCATATCCATGGCCWTGGGAATACGTGAAGCCGGTACACAGGGTTATGTCTTTAGAAAGCCTTTGTTTGGACTMATTCTAAACAAAAATATGCTGTACATCATGTATACATGTCAACCTCTTCGGACATTTACCTGTATAAAAAGCCTCAAAAATCCGTAAATTATGAAAAAAATCCGTACAACTCGCAACCGCAGGGGGGCAGGGTGTGTGTGTGTGTGTGTGT